CTTGGGACAATTAAAAAAGGCTGACAGAGATAAGATATTGGCACTCTAAATGTATTGCTAGAGAAGGATACTGCATCTAAACTGAGCCCAAAGAGTGATCAACGTAGAAATAAAAAAACGTTGAACATAGAAAAATACCCAATGATGCACGGAGTGATGAGAAGGAAACAGACACTGTTTGGACACATATGTAGGATGGACAACAATTGGAAAATGAAAAAGGATTTTTTGCGGAAAAATAGAAGAACCCAGAAAAAGAGGAAAACCTAGCAGAGAATGGCTTGATGACACATAAGAGATTAGTGACAGAAAGATGTGGCACTACTTGAACATATTGGATAGTGGAAACGAATGATAAAACGTTCATACTCTTTGGTTCTTTCAGTAAAGTCACGTAGGTAGAAAAAATAATAGACCATGACGTTACGATCGCAACAACAAGCGACCGTCTATCTACGTGACTTTACCAAAAGAACCAAAGAGTGTGGATTCTTGCAGTCACGAAAGCTTCAAATCAAGATTGATAAAACGTTCATTAGAGACCTTCAGGCTATCTGCTCATGAATCGTAATTATGATAACTTGAATTAGTAATACACATTTAACATGTACAACCAACTTGAAAGAAGATGTGTAAATTCACACATATCAATGCTGATCATTTTTGTAGCACACCTTGGCAAGATACCCCTCCCATAGCAACAGCTCCTTTGCCAATGCCTCAGTATTTCGTTTCAGAGCAGAGTTGTGCCGCTCCTGCACTGGAATGCGCCAGTTGTAGTAGATGACATCCCCTGAATGAAGATAAAGGCAAAAGTTTTACGAAATGTGCAATGCAGAACTAAAACACAACAGTAGATACCTTTAAAAACAACCAATCCTCGAATAAAACCAATTCCAACAAATACAGTCATAGCAAAAGGCACCACACGTAGTCAATCAAAATATATGTAACTTTTATTTATACCTAGGTAAAACTCAATTGAGGTAATATGTCTATTTAGGACGTCTCTTGAGGGAGATATAATTTTAAACTGCGTAGGGATGATTTGAGAGCCCGATTCCTCTGCCTTGATATACATGATGCAATGCACATGTTAGTGGTGCTTAATACAAATCAATCACAATTACAATTGTAAGGCATAACAGGTTCCAAATTTTTTTGGCATTTATTTTGATATAACATCTTAATTGGGAACACATTTGCATCATCTGCCTGCGGATTTCCCCTCAGTTATCCCAGCCATCAGACCACCAGGAAACCCCACTTTGTTAAAAAAATGTGCATATCACTTATTATTAAATGTCGTATTGAACTAAAGTAGGATTTTCTGATTTCATTTTAGCTTCCTCTCCTGTTTCCTTTACAAAATCAAATCTAGATACTGAAAGTCACCTCCTTTCTCTGTTCCTTATCAACTGGTTTTCCATCTGTCTGCAATGACCTTGCTGTTCATATTATACATGCTCTATAATGCCGAGCAGATGTAATTCACTTTTGCCAAACGTCCCCACTGTGGCATCAACTCTCTTCATTAGACCTGTAAAAGCATTTTATTTGGCTCAATTAATCCAGAAACATCTGTAACAACATCAATTGAGCTTATATCTGCAAATGGATGCAAGCTATATTCACATATTGGACGGATCTTCCAAAAGGGTTAGAGAGGATTTGATTCTGATACTACAGTCTTGGACTGGCTGGTATGTAATGGGTTTTTCTTACTTTGCACAATGTGCATCTGTAATTTAGGAATGTTCAAGTTAATGAGTATTCAAAATTATGTTTTTTTAGGCCGAATATGCAACTTAATTGTTGCCCCCAAGTTAGTATCCTGGAAATCCACAAGCCCTGCTGGTGAATCCAGGGCTCCGTGCATAAATAATTGCTTAATGGTGAGGGCATATGAGACAGAGAAGAGAGGAGCGGAAAAAAAAAGGTGTACCACAGAGGCAGAAAAGGGCAGACACGAAGATACTGAGTAGAAGGGACAGATGTAGAGAAAGTGATACAACTTGATGTGGCCACCTCTCTTTCTGTGTCTCACAGTGCTAGAACAAGCAACTATAAGGATTTTGAAGAATCATATAATGTGAGAACATATCATTATAATACAGCACTGGTGATAGGGGGATTTAAATACATTTTCTAAGAACATGTCACTCCACTGAATATTCCACCCAAGCAACGTGATTTTATCTTCCCCTGCACGACAGTGTGTGGACCACTGTGTCCACAGTGCATCATACAAAATATAACGCACTAGTCATGCTTCCGTAATGTGCGGGCCACTAGGTTCATACGCGAGTTTCAAATGTGGGCAATGTGTGATCATCACCAGATTTCTGTTGCAAGGTGAGGACCTCAAATGTGCGCTGCAGAACCAAGGCCTGCTCTGCTGCTCCAATCTGGCATCAGTTTTGTGCCCTGTGCCTTGACTGATTCTGCACAGACAAACAACGTATGTGAATTGCAACAAATAATAACCATAGGTATTATTTCCACCTTGTTTGACACCAATTCCGTCCATAAATATAGACATTTGACTAAAACACGAACGTTGTTATCTTCAAGTTGACTTTAAATATAGAATGACCAAGTGGCACAATGATTAAGACAAGAGGATCAAACAATTAGTCTCTTCAGCTTTTCAACCCCCTGGGGTTGATAATATACATACTATTTAGTGTGAAGTCAACAGTGACTGTACTATAGACCCCATAAGAATATGTAATTCTACCACAAGCTCAGGCTGATGAACTGGAGATGAACAAGGCTGCATGTACGATTGAATGGGAAAGCACTTTGCTGGAATGGATATCCTGACCCAGGCATTGTGCACAGGATAACAGGGATAGCACAACAGTTGGCTCATGAATTGAAGACAATTGTGTTCTAAGGAAACTTTCTGCCACTGGGAGCTCACATCTGTATCATGTTCCAAATTCCTTTCAACTCATGAGTTGGGCCCCATCCGTGAGATGCATATTGTGCTATACAGGCGTGTCGTCTCGCTTATCGAGCACGATGTATTCCACGCAAATTGCTCGGTAAGCGAAATCTCGTTAAATGATCATTGTTTTCCCATTGACTCTCTGCCACGTTAAAAGCTGAGTTACATTCCAACCCCAAAATGTTCCACTCTTGAGCAACTTCTATCATGTGAGAAATACCAATTATTGTATCATTTTAAAATAAAGTAATAAAACATCAAATTTAACACTTACCACACATGAAGCACCAGTGCAAGATCCCCCATATAGCCTTAACAGACTGTCGGGGTAAGTGCTGTTAGCGAGCACCTATGAAGGCTGGCACGGCACACGAGGGGGTGAGTGGCCAGCACCATGACCCGGCCACCTTTGTCTCCCCAGTGGTTATGTTTAAATACTGCACCAGGTACTCACTCATTTGAGTCGGCCTCGGGGAAGCCCAGGACCGGTTCAGATAATCCTCACTGGTGTTGACCGTGAGCAGGAATTGAACTCTGGTCGCCGGGTTCGTAGCTCCGCTCCCCACAACAACCACCATTCGCCACTAAGTGGTCGTGATGTCACCACGGCCCTTGTGCCAGGTTATGTGCACTTTAAGGCCATGTGAAGAGTCAAATGCTCACTGGCAGGTGGTCACGGAACAAACCCAGGTACCATGGGTTGACTGACTGAGATGACCGGTAGATGCACCATCCGTGTCCCCTACTGTGCCAACTTGCTGTTTAGCCATCCAGCGCTCTGCTCATTGTTGTGAGAGTCACTCCTCTGCCCTCTGCTGTTGTTGGAGGGTGACTACCTCCAACTACCCGGTGGCATCGTTCACGAGCCTTCTTCACAGAGGTCGACCTTGGCACTGCTTGTACCGGTCATTGGATTGTCCACTCAACTCTATATTCTCTCGGACCACATCATTCCATCTCTTATCTTGCCCGTGCCATGCCCATTTAGCCCCCTATATCCAGTTGAACAAAAACTATTTGTACATGTCGTGGCTGGGCATGTGTGCTACATGACCCAGCAAACACAGCCTTGCCTGATGGAGGGAGCTCACCAAAGGGACTTTGTCCAGATCTTTCAAGGGATTTGTGAGCTCTTAAACATTCCAGCCTGGTTAAACCCAGGATGGACCGTAGGCAGGCCAGTCTGAATGTATCTAACCGGTGATGATATTCCATTAGGGGGGTGCACGTTTCGTAAGCATAGATAAGGGAGGGCATGACTGTGGCCATGAAGACCCTAATCTTCATATGGAGCGACAGACCGGGTAGCTTCCACAGCATTATGCAGCTGATGAAATGATGATACCATTTGACTGATGAAGAGTAAGACCTCTGCCGTCTAACCGGAGCTGGTCATAAGCACACTGCCAAGGTATGGAAACCTCTCCACTCTCTCCACAACTGCCCCATCACCAATGGAGAGTTGAGGGGTGAAGTTTTTGATGATACGAAATACCCAGGCACATGCTTAGTGTAGTGGGGCTGATGGTAACGCCCAACCTTATAGTAGCATGCTCCAGGTCAAGCAGCAGAGCCTCCAACTCCTTCTCCGAGTGAGCAGCAATCACCAGATTATTAGCATACATAACATGGTTGACCAATTAGGAGCCATCCCTCAACTGCACCTGGGCATCCATCTGCCTCAAATTGTATATGTACCAGATGGCAGTTCCTCCGGTACAGCAATGGAAGGCTTCTCGAATTATATGGCCGAAAAATATGTTAAGTAATGTAGGCACCACAGGACATCCCTGTCGGTACCAAGGTGAACAGGGAATGGCTCTGATTCCTAGCCACATAGCTTTACCTGAGCAGAAAGTCCGGGACTCCAAAAGTACAAAGAACAACCCAGAGCCCAGGCCTATTGATGGTATCATAGGCCTTGACCAGGCCAATAAAGCAGAGATGTAGGTCCTGTTGGAATTCCCTACACCTCTTCTATAGCAGACAAACAGAAAATATAGAAAATATGTCATCCGTGCAGGATCACCCGAGCCTGAAACCACATTGTGGCTCTGCAAGGCTCTCCTCAGAGTGCCTGGCAAAGCGATGTTGAGTAATCCTTGCCATGACCTTTTTCGACACACTGAGGAGGGAGGTGCCCCTGTAGTTACGACAATCTGTGCGGTCTCCCTTCTTAAAGAGGGGGACCACCAGGGAATCCTTCCAATCCTGCAGAACCCGTCCAGTGGTCCAGACAGTTGTGATTATGTCATATAGGACAGTCGGCACATAAACGCCTGGTCTCAAGACTCTGGATTGCCTTCTGTACTTCTTCAATAGAGGGCACTTCAGTCAGCCACTCACAAGGGGTGCTTACTTCTTCCAATATTTGAGGCACTCTAACCTCAGCAATTCCATCCCCACTATGAAGAGAACAGTTGATTGGAATTGCCCCTCCCCCATTGCTGTGTTCACAGCCATCACAGAGTTACCATCCGGCACCATCGAGGAAGGGGGTTGTTTTTGCTGGATACTGCTCCTCACACCACACGTAGCCAACCATAAGTGACACATGCCTGTACTTCAAACACACTTTTTACGAACGTTGCTTCAATCCCTTTTTCCGTTGTTTTGTCAATATTCCCTCTGAGGAGTTCGAGCCACCTTTTCAATTTTCATTCCTCTTGATTTACTTTGAGCATCTCCCATCTTATTAAGAATTTTGTCATGGTTCTCGACTTTATTAAAACAACTATAAGAGAGGTTATGGCCTGAGTTATCTTGTTACTTGGTCCAATTTTTCATTCACAATATTTTTCATCTCTAAATATAAAGCTTTTTTTAACAAATGACTGCAGGAATCCATACTCTGGTTCTTTCGGTAAAGTCACGTAGGTATAAATAAAATAAATCACGACGTTTCGATCGCAACACAAGCGGTCGTCCTCAGGCAGAAAAAATATAATCCAGCAGTGGAACAGCTGAACTAGCGAGAGAGCAGCTACAACAAGGAGGCTATATATGTGGCGATGGGCAAACAAGCGGGATCTGAGCTGGAAAGGAATTCCACCCCGTCCCAAGCACCTCAGTTGTGTTAATGGGGGATTAGGGAGAGAGGGAGATTAGCATGAATGAGCTTCTGTCACCGCATAAGAGTATCATGCCCGCATATACGCACAACAGCAGTGTTAATGAGAGATTAGCACCATGAGAGTGCAATCCAAATGGTATGTGAGCATGAGAGTACAATCCAAAGGACATGTGAGAGATCTAAGAGAGGCATAGAGAGAGAGACAGAGAGTCCGAAATAACAGCTGACATCGGCAGGTAGGATGGAAACATCACAGTCAGTTAAGACTTTACCCATTAACACAACTGAGGTGCTTGCATCCGGGGGTGGAATTCATTTACAGCTCAGACCCCGCTTGCTTGCCCATCGCCACATATATAGCCTTGTTGTAGCTGCTCTCCCGCTAGTTCAGCAGTTCCACTGCTGGATTATATTTTTTCCGCCTGAGGACGACCGCTTGTGTTGCGATCTAAACGTCGTGATTTATTTTATACCTACGTGACTTTACCAAAAGAACCAAAGAGTATGGATTCCAAACAAAACCTATGAAAATATGTTCAAAACATTCACACAATTCATCTAAGACATTTTCAAACGAGCATATTCATTTTGACATTGTGTAATTTTACGGCATATGTTGTGGCATGCACAACATAAACAAAATTGTAACATGTTATGGGTATCTAACATTTTCATCAAGAGTTTCACTCCACATTACTTTGAAAGGTTGCATTATGTAACCCTTTGTCATTACTTGAAAGTGCACACATTGAGGCTTACGTTCTCGTATCATGACTCACCTCCAGGTAGAAGCACGCCCCTAAGGATTCGTTGATAATGTTGACACCGTGACGGAAGGAGGGAAGCTGCGGGGGGACAAGATTGATCAGCTAAGTGAACCCACTCAAGAAATCACAGTATTAATAAACTCAAGCAATGAACAAATCTATGAAGAATTCCCATTATTCAAACTATAACCTCATGTTCCAAGAATCCATACACATATTTTAAGAACAGGCAGACCTCGCTTAGCACAACCCCATAGCAAGCTGATTAATTATAGCGCTCTTTGTCCTGGAGAAACGAAAACACCGACAGATTGCTTACGAGTGATAACAAGCAGCAACGCTAGCTGAGGAAAGGGGCCATCCATTTAGTACGTATGTAATAAAGGACTCTTTCACAGTGTCGATCTCCGTTGTCCTTTATTTGGGTTCGTGTAAATCTCGCTCCCACGGCGTCCTCGCTCAGGCCCGCGTCTCCTCCGTCGATCACTCCACAGCCACCCTGCTGCTCCGCTCTGCAGCCACCCTGCTGCTCCGCTCTGCAGCCACCCTGCTGCTCCGCCCTGCAGCCACACTGCTGCTCCGCCCTGCAGCCACACTGCTGCTCCGCTCTGCAGCCACACTGCTGCTCCGCTCTGCAGCCACACTGCTGCTCCGCTCTGCAGCCACACTGCTGCTCCGCTCTGCAGCCACACTGCTGCTCCGCTCTGCAGCCACACTGCTGCTCCGCTCTGCAGCCACACTGCTGCTCCGCTCTGCAGCCACACTGCTGCTCCGCTCTGCAGCCACACTGCTGCTCCGCTCTGCAGCCACACTGCTGCTCCGCTCTGCAGTCACACTGCTGCTCCGCTCTGCAGCCCCACTGCTGCTCCGGACACCGATGGCCGACAGTGCCGAGGTCTCCCAACACGTGGTGATCGCGCCACTCTCCCAGTACTGCCCAGCGTGGCCTCCTCCTGTTTCACTCCGTTTCAACTCCCCGATCCCCTTCCGGTTCTCTCCCTAATCCTCTCCCCCACGTGACCCTAACTCCTCCCTCTCCTCACGTAACCCAGACTCCGCCCCCCTCAACCCTTGCTCGCATTACACGTATGCAAAAATCTGTCAAAACTTGACTCCTCCCCCCTCCCTGTAGGCACGCGTTCTTTTACACCGCGCCCCACCTGCATACCCCACCTGCATACGTATGCTTGACGCACCCCCTCCCGAATCCTATAGAACGGTCGATATTTAATCCACGTAGAAACGATCAAGGATTAATAACAGTAACGTGTGATAATAGGTTTTTCCCTTTTCTGGAAACAAAACAGGTGTTATGATGTTAAAACACCAAACTGAAACCTTTTACAAGGAATCATGTCTGCATCAACCACAATACTTGGTGTCAGAATGCAAACAAAAAACTTACTCTGATAATATATGTGTAGTGACGGTACGCGCTGACAAGGGGGGAGCGTGTGAGAGCGCGTCGGGTGTGGCTACATCGCGTGGTATAGTGGTGACGCGCGCTGACAGTGATGGATCGTGTGGCAGCGCGTGGGGAGTGGTTGTGTGCGCTGACACAAGCTGAGAAAAAGGATCATGTGGCAGCGCGTGGTGATTGGTCAACTAGGGTGGGTGCTCACATCGAGGTCCGCATAGGCTCCGTCTCCCCGGGAGCGGAGGACTATAAAAGGCGATGCGCGGGGGCGCTGGGGGAGTTGGTAACCAGTGAAGATCGAAGACGGAGTTGGAAGAGATAGGGCCCTGAGACCCCTAGTCCCGCTGTCCTTGTAAGGGCCGGGACCCTGTGCGGCTCAGAGGCGAGACCATGGGACCCGCGGCCTGACGTCCGTGTGAGGGCGAGGCTGTGGGACCCAGTGGTCGGGACCCATACCCCAGCCGGGGTGGGTTCCCTGGAAGCTACGGGGCGGGAGAGCCCGTGTGTGTGTAGCCGGGGGAACCGCGTAGCGTAGGCTGCAGTTGGCCACACGTGTTAGTGAAGTTGGTGTTAATAAAAGTGTGCTACCCGTCAAGTCGTCTCCCGCCCAAATTCCTACATTACATATGCATTGCCCTTGAAACTGATTGGTCCAAACCAGATAGTTTTCTTTTGAGCCTCGTCTCAAAGGATGTTAGACCAGAGGATGCCAAAAGGCATATGTATATAGTAACGTGTTTAAGCAAACAGATAGTCCACCGCCGGACTATCAAACTAATTTGAAGGCCAATGTATACAAATTATTATCGAGGCTTAACCCCCTCTCATTTCCTACGAGTAAGTACAATGTCAGTAGATCCCCCCCATACGCAAGCGTACGCATTTGGGTTAACCTCCCCTCCCCCCTCTGTATACGTACAAAATGGATGGCCCCCAAACATAGTCGCCCCCATCATTCGCTCAGCGATTGAGAGCGACGCATGGCTCTGAGCTAACCAGACCCCACCACTCCCCGTGATTCGATTATCACGATTCGTGGCTACGATTCCATTTTAAAAAGCAAATCAAATTATATATTTTTAGCACATAGGCTGTCGCGACCAATATTATCAGAGGTTTTTGGATTATATTGTGTAAATATAAGTGTACCGGTGAAAACATTGTCACTCAAATTGTAAATGTTGTGGGTTTACTTTCCAACACACCGGCGTGCTGAACTCGTAAACAACGTGAGAAACCTTTATATTTATGAAATCTAATCCAAAAAACCTCGACTATGGTTATTTAAAAAAAAAAAATCATGTTATTATTACAGTGCCTTTAGGCAGGTGAGAACTTATATGAGACAAGGATAGTTTCATGTGACATCTCAAATAAACCTCACCACAAAATTGACTGAGGGAGTCACTAAGACCCAGGTTGAGAGTGCAGCAACTCCAACCAATGCCTTATAGGAGTACAGTCGAATGCACTCGTGAGTACATGTACTCATGTTATTATAAATTATTTTGATCTATGAATTGTTTATCGTACGGATTACTATTATATGCACTACTAGCTTTACTACCCAGCTTCGCCCGGGGCTTGGATTCACGGCGCCCGGCCGCCTTTGTCTCCCCAGTGACGATATTCACACCGCACGAGTTACTCGTTTGAGGCCGAGCCGACCTAGGGGAGGCCCAGGACGGGTTCAAATAATCTTCACCGGTGGTGGCCGTGAGCGGGAATCGAACTCGGGTCGCCGGGTTCGTAGCGCAGCGCGCTAACCACTACACTACCGCCACATAAACGCACACACGCGCTTGCAGCAGACACACACCACTTTCAGGGTGCGGAGGGCAGTAAACGACTGAAATAATAAAGCAATGCTGCGCGAAGAACGCCTTAGACCTGCAACACATTTGTATTTCACTTTACCCGCGATCAGCAGGCACACTCCGATACGCTTCCGTAAACGGGCCACATGACAGATGTGACGTCACAGCTCACTTGCCGTGCAAAATATATGTATTATTGCGCCCCCCCCCCCCCCGAAAAAATATACAAAAGTCTATTTTTATAATTTTTGCATGGTGTACAGTAGGCCTCGGCAAGGTAAGGTAATTTACCCTTTTTACCGGGTAAAGGGTAAAGGTGTCGACATGCCAAGGGATAAGGTAAAGGGTAGGGTAAAGGTAGCTCGGAAGATTTACCCGATAGGGTAAAGGTAGCGCGAAGTATTACCCGGTAAATACAGTACCTAGTTTACCACTAAAAGCTCCGTGGCGCAGTCCGTGGCCTCCATTTAACAATATTAAAAAACTTTATTAAAAACACGCTTTTATTAAATGTACTAATAATGGCAGAACTCCACAACTCCAGGAAGTGGCCCCGAAGCTTGCCATAACGTAAGGGGCCGTGGCCAATTACAGCCAACGTCAGTTGACCGTGGACAATTAGACCCAAGCCGAAACATAACATATAAAAAAGAATGTTTAAAAATATATATATTTTTATGATATAATATAGTCTTGTCATCAGTATGACCATAAGTATACCAAGTTTGCAGTCGATACCACATTAGGAAGTGGGTAAAAGTTTAGTTACAAGATTTGAGGATAAAACGACAACAACGACAACAACGAGCGTGTAAAATTGGAATCATCGAGAGTATTCTAAATGAATAAAGCGCTCTACCCAGCATTTACCATTATAAACCTTGTTCATGTGTAGTTTCCTAGTGATTACCCTGTAATCAGGTAATTTGTATGGGGTAAGGGTAAAAGATAGGCTCGTTGTTTTTACCTTTTAACTTTTACCTTACCTTGCCGAGGCCTAGTGTACAGTCTGGAAAGTACCCACATGGCAAATTTCAAGTTTGTTGTATGTCGGGAAGTACGCTAAACATTTTGAACAGACACAAAATCACAAATTTCCCTTTGATATATATGGATAGACTAGCTTTACTACCCGGCTTCACCCGGGACTTGGATTCACCACGCCAGGCCGCCTTTGGCTCCCCAGTGGCGATGTTCACACACCACACCAGTTACTCGTTTGAGGCTGAGTCGACCTAGGGGAGGCCTAAGAGCGGTTCCAATAATCGTCACTGGTAGTGGCCGTGAGCGAGAATGAAACTCGGGTCGCCGGGTTCGTGGCGCAGCGCGCGAATCGCTACGCAGTCACTGCCCGCCCCCACACACAGGATAAAGACAAAGATCCCCCGTGTAGCCTGTGAGTCTGTAGGGGGCAAGTGCTTTTAGCGAGCACCTATGAAGGCCGGCACGGCACACGAGGGGGTGGGTGGCCAGCACCACGGCCGGCCGCCTTTGTCTCCCCAGTGGCGATGTTCACACAGCACACCAGTCACTCTTTGGAAGCCGAGTCGACCGAGGGGAGGCCCAGGACCGGTTAAAATGATCGTCACCGGTGGTGGCCATGAGCGGGAATCGAACTTGGGTCACTGGGTTCGCAGCGCAGCGCGCTAACCACTACACTACCGCTCCCCCCACACACAAACGCGCGGGCGGCCATAGGTCCACATACACGCGCTTGCTGCAGACACACACAACTTTCAGGGTGCGTACGGCAGTAAACGACTTAAATAATAAAGCAATGCTGCGCAAAGAACGCTCTAGACCTGAAACACATTTGTATGGCACTGTGCCCACGGAGGGTTGGG